TTGGACTTGCCAACTCGATTCTCAGAATATTTTGAAGGTAAAATTCTTAATATTAGGAATAATTTCACTGATAAAAATTCCATTCATGACCATGAGAAAAACATTTCGAGTGCTCTGGACAGATTTGAAATATTGTCTCAGGACGAAATCTCTCGTGTCATCAAATCTATGGCAACAAAATCATGTGCCTTGAACCCATTGCCAACACAGATACTGAAAGATCAGCTTCCGGTATTACTCCCGACTATTTGTGACATCATAAACTCTTCGTTTAGATCCGGAACATTCCCAGATATCTATAAACATGCCAATGTAATCCCTCTCATTAAGAAACCCTCGCTTGATCCAAACCAAGTCAAGAACTATAGGCCGGTATCCAACCTAAGTTTTGTGTCGAAAGTTCTAGAGAAATGCATCGCAAAACAATTGATTGGTTATATATCTGAATTTAGTCTTCTCAGCACCTATCAAAGCACCTACCGTCAATATCATAGCACAGAAACCTCACTGTTAAAAGTACAAAATGACATTCTCTTGTCCATTGATAATCAAAGCTGTGTGTTTTTGCTGCTTTTAGATCTTTCTGCAGCATTTGACACAGTTGACCACAAGGTGCTGTTCTCGCGACTTGCTGGTGAATTTGGTGTAACTGGTTTAGCTCTCGAACTACTTAAATCTTATTTAACAAATCGTTCCCAATCTGTCATTATACACAACAAACAATCTGACAAAAAAGACCTGAGCTTCGGTGTACCGCAGAGCTCAGTTTTAGGCCCAATTTTGTTTAGCATATACACCACCCCATTGTCCAAAATTATTGAGAAACATGGTCTGCAGTTCCAACTTTACGCAGATGACACTCAGTTGTACCTGTCGTTTAAACCCTCTCTGCCTGGAGATTTCAATACATCAAAATATCAAATTGAAGAGTGTATTAGTGAAATTCGTGTATGGATGGGAATCAATTTCCTTAAACTGAACGACGAAAAGACTGAATATATTCTTTTTGGATCAAACAGTTTAGTATCTAAGTTTGATAAAGGTGTTTCACTCTTAGTTAATTGGTGAGCATGAAATAATCCCAACATCTTCAGTCTGTAACATTGGTGTTATCTTTGACAGTGAACTATCCATGGAGAAACAAATTAGCAATATTTGCAGATCTTGTTATTTTCAACTGAGGAATATAAGTAAAATCAGTAAAAAATTGCCAGTTGAGTCCATCAAAACTGTTGTTCAGGCGCTTGTCACATCACGATTAGATCAATTTAATTCGTTACTTATTGGTTTACCATCTCGTCTCACTGATAAATTGCAAAAGGTTCAGAACGCCGCAGCTCGACTCATTACCCCTATTTTAATTCAACTTCACTGGTTACCCATTGTTTTTAGAATTCAATATAAGGTCATTCTTTTAACTTTTAAATGTTTAAATCATATGGCACCGTTGTATTTATCGTCGCTTTTAGATATATATTCCCCTACTCGTACATTGAGGTCCTCAAGTGACCATTATTCACTTGTCTGTAAAACAGCTAGACTGAAAACTTACGGTGAACGATCGTTTACAGTGCAGGCCCCTAAACTGTGGAATAAGCTCCCACTTACTCTCAGAAGTTCTACCTCTTTATCGAGTTTTAAATCACAATTGAAAACACTTTTATTCAAACAAGCTTTTGATTTATAGATTTATTTTTTACTGTTTTAATTTTATACAATTATTATAGATTTTTAAACGTATGTTTTATTTTTTATATTTTTTTATGTAATATATATTGTACAGCGCATCTGAACACATTTTGTGAAAGCGTGCGCTATATAAATGATGATAATAATAATAATAATAATAATAATAATAACATAAGATAGCAACGCAGAAGATATAGTAACAGAAGGTAGCAATACAGAAGATAAAGTAACAGAAGATAGCAACGCAGAAGATAAAATAACAGAAGATAGCAATGTAGAAAATAAAGTAATAGACGGTATCTATGCAGAAGATAAAGTAACCGAAAGTAGCAATGTAGAAGATACATTAACAGAAGACGGCAATGTAGAAGATAAAGTAACAAAACGTAGAAATGTAGAAAGTAAAGTAACAGGGTAGCAAAGTGGAAGATAAAGTAACGTACGGTTGCAGTCGGAAGATAAATAAGCAGAGGGTAGTAACGTGGAAGATAAAGTAGCGCACGGTTGCACTGCAGAAGATAAAGTAACAGAAGATAAAGTAACGAACGGGTGTAATACAGAAGATAAAGTAACGTACGGGTGCCATACAGGAGATAAAGTAGATGAAGAAACTGGAAAACAAAATACAAAATATTATGAGGAAAAAGATTGTAATGAAATGGAAGATAGAAATAACGAAAGGGGCGATAAAGAATCAGAAAGTAAAGAAACAAAAGATAACGAAGGTAATAACTACATAAACATTCTTCTCACCTCAGCTATTTGATAAATATTTCGTTAAATCTTTTTCAATGTAGAACTGACCTTACAATAGATGAAACAGCTGCCCTTCCGAAATTCACCAACCCTTATTCACGAAAACTTAAACTAAGATACAATCGAAATTTTAAGAAATACTGCAATTCGATTGGCTGACCAGTAAAATCAATTTGCATATATCCAATTTGCATATTGGTCAGCCAATCGAATTGCAGTATTTCTTAAAATTTCGATTGTATCTTAGTTTAAGTTTTCGTGAATAAGGGCCCGGTGTGATAACTGAAAATACGAGGCTCTCTATATTAGTTTCTCAACAATTTTAACGGGACTTTGAAACCGTCACACGTATATAATAAACAGATTACAACGCACCGTCATGTCTAAATAAATGAAATCGGGTTTCACATCTCGTTGGTACTTTGTCTAGATAGTATTGAAACTAACACGCTGTTATTTGTATTTACTGTCGCGGGTCATTTGCATGCGCACAATGGACGGACCTCGATAGTTTTGCTCTACCCGAGCAACCTCTTAACCTCGGGTATAATACACATCTTACTTACCTGTACTGTGTCATCATCTTGCATAATACAGATATTCTTAATAATGCAACGGTTTAAAGAATCCAGAGAACCATCGCATACTTAATAACTTAAACAATACAAATCAAATGTTTAAATTTTATAAAGTTTTAATATTATTTCAGACGTTGAAATAGCAACGTGTCCCGAAGACTTCGAGAACAGATTAGAGCCAGGATACTTTAAAAGAGAAGGGAGGCAATTTTGCCTGAAACATGGCAAAATATTTAAAGTAAACAAGAAAAGCGCACAAAACCAAACAAACAGAAAATTTGTATTATTAGGTGTCATTCCTGGTAGCTGCAAATCAACCAAATATCAAAAGAAAAGTAAGTAAGCATACGTAGATACGGGTATCATGTGCGTAGCAGAGTGGGTATGCTTCTTATAGCACCTACTCAACTTTCAACATTAAAGGACAATATTGGTGCCAGTCATTATCAAATATATGATAGAGCTGGTTAAACACATTCCAAATATAATTTTAACACAGAGATCGTTGCTACGATAGCTGAGTAATACATGTTTCCTGAATCGGAAGAGACGAACGCCAAAGGAAAACACGAGTCATCTCTCTATATAACTGACTGATGTGACGAGTGATAATGGATATACGGGCGACTTTCTGTTCACTAATAATTCCTTCGAAGACCAAAAGTTGTTGTGTGAGACTGTCCTTTAAACGACACAACACATAACAGAAAAGAGGTAGGGGGTTGCATATTCCAAACATATGTAAATAGAGCTGATAATGATGGGGAAATATATAATTTCTCAGTCTATCTAATCGTTAAAAAAAGTGAACCTTACATTACCGTACATTTATCATTGCTTCTCTTTTTCTTTATCTTAATTAATCAGACTATTCACTTATGTCTATGCATTATGTTAACCCTCAATCAATTACTTCCCTTTATTTTGATATATAAACAGTATTACGTGCACCAATTGGAAGAACTATCTTTGTAGATTGAGTGTAGTAGCACTGCCTTTATACTGACGTAAAAATATATTATTACTATTTTTATTACCTTTTAGCCTACTTTTATTTTTTTGTACTCAGTCACTAAATGTCACTTAAGGATTAGATAATATGCATTTTGTCATTTGATATTCAACAATTTTATTTAGATCTGTATACCTTAGTGGCTTAGTGGATCCCGCGTATTTTTAGGGTTGATTCCTCTTGTCAGTAGTGCAAGATATCAGGATAAAAATAAAAACTTACACATCCCGTGAAAATCTTTTTCGGTCGCATCCGAAAATAAAAAAAATGTATCTGAAGCAGAAAAGGAAAGAGATCCAACAGATGCAGAATTAACATACACCGAATGCTGGGAAGATGGCGAAACCGAAGATAATAACCGCGTACAAACTGTGTGATTTGATGATTATTTGAACTAAAAACATATTCAAACTAATATTTGCTTTATATCCCCTGAAAAACATTTTAATCGGAAGGGCGTTACCCCCCAAGTGGCCCAGTGAGTAAAATGTTGGCTCGCTAACCTGGTGGTGCCGTGTTCGATCCCGGTGTGCGCGAGAAATTTCATCTTGACGGAGGGCCTGGCGAGGGACAACGTATAGTCGTTCGGGTGGAACAAAAAACCGAGGTCCCGTGTACACATTGGCGTGCATGTAAAAGAACCCTTGTCATTTGGAATTCGATATAAGAGTGGGCCGTAGCGCCGCTGTCCGGGCAAAAGATTCCTCATGGCACATTGCATGGTGTATGCCGGTCTTCATTAGCTCAGTCATTTCGTCACTGGGATTCAAACCGGGGATGTTGTTCTGGCGCCTGAATTACTTTTGATTCCCCGACCAGATAGACTAGATATACAGAGATTCCACTGGGAAATAAACATTTATTGGCCACAATAAGTGTTTAGTTGGCATTATACAAGCTTATTTTGTACATCGTATTTATTATCATGAAAATGAAACTCAACAATAGCAAATGTAGAAAGGGAACGAAATATAACAGATAGTTTAATTAATGTATTATTTTTATTCTAGTTAATACAGCTTTTCTATCCTATACATTCCTTTGGTGGGATGAAAACGTTAGGATCTGGTACACCAAGAGTAACATCAATAAAACTGAAATAAAATAACACCAGATCAGTGAGTCGCCAACAATCTACATTTCGTTTCGTTTTTTATACTTTCGATGGCTTTTATTACATGAAGACTGACCGGTTGTAGTGGAAGGTCACGTCTGAGGTCATACGAGCGGATTTGACCCTATGACGTCAGAAATTCCATTAACCAATCAATGTTGATGTTTCTAGTGGGTTACCCACAGTTCCGTGCACCTTAAGCCAAAACCTCACCGTAACAGACCGCTTCATTAGCTAATTCCTCACATCATCCAGAACGCGGGTTGTATAAGAACTCTTTCAGATCTTAGTGTAGGTAAGAAAAGTAAAACGATATTTTTTAAAAACTATAACAAACGAAACGAAATAAGATCTGTGTTTTAATCAGATTGAGTCACCAGTATCCCGTTACTGTATTCTCTGATGTAAGAGGATAATGCCGGCTTTAATATGTCACTCTCGTGCGTTTATTTAAAATTTTATAACCAAACAATCCAAACTATCATAAAAATTCGAAAAGCAAAAACCACCCAAACGTATATACTAATGACGCGTCGGTGTAAAAAGCCTCCCCGTCCCCCACTACCTTCGACCGCCTTACGGATAGGGTGAAATTAACATGGTTCAAGTTAGGGATTCCATCACCATGTTTCTAAATGACCCGGAAGTGGAAAGATGGTGGTTTGTTTTTACATCAGCCGAGTATTTATTTACAAAAATACAAACACACGGACACTCGAGTGAGAACGTAGTAATTATGACATGGTCGTAAATGAGTGTCAAAAAGTCATGCTTATCTTTTTACTCTGTCGAGCTTAATCTTCACCCTATGCTATATTGGTTTTTACATTTTACGAAAATTTCATTGATTAAACGAAAGGTCAGGTTGATTCAGAACACGAGATTGAAGCATGTCTTTAGACGTTAACAGGGGTTTGACGCCAAACCGTATTTTATGGATCGGTTGATGCTATATTTAGATTTCTGTGAAAATTCGAGAAACGTAAATGGTCTACTTACGTTCTATGATCGTAACCAGTTTGTTCACTGTAATAACCGAACTGAACAGGGAAGCATCCTGGTTGTGTTACAGCAATGAAGTAAGGATCTGAAATTGATTTAAAGAGAAAATACATGGGATTGTATTTTAGTTTAATAGATAATGTGGTTCGTTAATCAGATTATATTTTTAGTTTGATAGACAATTTATTTCGAGAAATATATTATATTGTTAGTTAAGTAGATCATTTAGTTCGATAATCAGATTGTACTTTTAGTTAAGTAAATTATTTAGTTCGATAATCAGATTATATTTTTAGTTTAGTAGATAATAAATATCTACCTCGTGAAATAAAACATCACACTTACTGTTTTCATATCTTCCTTCGAAGAATTCGACGTTAACGTGTTCATTAGGTATTCCAGAAACACCCAACACACCGATTCCTGAAAAGTTGGCACCATTTGGAACACCGAATGGAGTAAAGGAACGAGAAATAGCTGTGGCGTTACATTGACGTGTTTTCAGATTAAAACGATATTCAAGACCCTGTGGTACGAAAAAAAAGAGAATTAAATTATCAGAAACGGCCAACATCTGGCCATGGTTAATCAAGTTTTAAGATGTTAATTCTTTGACAATTGGAACAGTAATTATAACCATAACCGCCATTGTGATAAATTTGATGTTTTATGAGCAAGAATAAGATTAAGTGTTTAAAAATAAGAGCATTGTTGATTCCTTTACTTGCTGAATTTATAAAAGTCAAATTAATATAATTTCTCTCCCCCCCCCCTCCCACTGGAAATCAACGTATTCAAATCGCTAATAGTTGTTGTGTTTTTCATAATAGAAAAAGCTTCCTATTTCATTTTTTAAAAAAAGTTTTTGAAAACATCACTTTCTGGAACATTAAATTATGAAACATGTTAAGCTTACGATATTATGGAGGTAAAGTTTATCAAAGTATTCTCTTTCTGATCCTTCTTCTCTCTCCTCGATTTCTCGAACTCGTCTCTGATCTTCATCATAACTGATTTTGGCATACTCCTGAAGTTGTCTTTCCCTGTCGAACTAAAAAAAATAAAACAAGGTTTCAACATAAAACTACTCAATTTTTTTACCACTGGACAAATTGATCGACCTTTAAGGCCACGCCCTGTATAGTTCTACGTATGATGTCATATCTTACGACGTCGATAACACGTGGTCCGAGCTGAATTAGAGCCCTTTACTCATTTTACGCCTGCACGTACGCGCGTACTATTTATGTATCCATTTACACTAAAAAGGCAATATCTAGGTATACTTCTTTATTTTTTATTCTTAGTAATTTTTATAAAAAAATGTCGAGAATTTAATTTGCAGCAGAAAAAAAAAGTTAAAATCCAGGGTGACAATAAACTCGACCTACATTATCACTGTCAGTGATATCGAATATTTACTGCTGACTAATCTGAAATCAACCTTATTATGCATAGCAACTTTTATTTTTCAATCAAAAAGCGACGGTATGCTTATACTGGTAATTATAATGGTAGGCTATATTTATTGCATCAAATTAATTCATCTACATATCATCGTTTACCTGTCGGGCATACCCTTGTGAGATCATGTTCATATCTTAACAGTAAAAATATACTAACCCTCATAAATCGACCTTCAAACTGTCGAGGTGAAACTGTGAAAAAAAGAAAGGAAGGTCAAAGAAGCAATGTTACTTTGGCAATAGAGTTCTTTTATTAATAAATCTGTCTGAATTTACGTTTTTAAAATGTAATGACTTTTTGTCGATCGTTTACGAGAAGGTGCGTTTTTTGTAGAACATAATAAGCATGGATACAAAAAATATTCCCCCCCATACCAAAACAAACATCCCCTAAACATGAAATACTGAACAAAAAGATATACAACCCGTGCATTTAAAATACTTCGCTTTAAATATGGCAAACTTAAGACTACAAAGATACAAACTCGATCCCGTCTTAAATGAAATTCCCTTTAAACAATCATGCACATATTCATTTCGACCTATGTCTAATTCCTGCCTCAAATCATATATTTAGGGAATACGTCGCCGTTTGTGTGAATTAATATCAATCAAAACTTCGCCCAATTCGTATAATAATTTCAGAATATGATAATTGGCCTCATGCAGCAGTACAAATCAAATACATAAACGTTTCTTACCACATGGTAATGGGACCTGACCAGCGACATAAGCCACGGCCAAACAGAGGAGTAACAGCTTCATGATGAGATCTAACACACGTTGAATACGTTTGAGATTGTCATAGTCTTATATACTATCTATATTTGACCTTATTCTTTGTGGTTACCATCTGTTTAATTCCTGGAGATACGAAGACAATCATACAGTACGCATTATATATATTTAAAGCTACGGTCTTCCAGCTGGTAATATACATATTATGTTTATTTGTTGCATAAATCTAGAAAATACATTCTTATGAGAATTGAGATAGACAAATTAGATATATTATTGTTTATAAAAATAATGATATGCCAAAGGAAAGAGTAAAATGCTAAGGTGAACGTATTTAACCTATATACGCACTGGTGTGGAATGAAGAATAAAGGGAAACGTCACTGTCAGAACAGAATTCTCCTTTCTTACACTGTAGGTAAACATCGAAAACAACGACATCGATGCGTTAGACCCAATTTCATTCCATCGAATGAAACATCTTTCCTAAGATGTCAGATATAAATGCTTGTGTGTGGACTACTTTTTAACGTTTTTAAGATTTACTGTGTTCAAGATAACAATGCATTTCTAATCTATATCTGTGCCTCGCTTTAAATAGTCTGCAGTTAATGTCAGTGTCTTTTTTTTCGGCATTTGATAAATAACAAAATCGGATTAACACATTTAGCAAAGGGTTGCAGTTTGATCGGCATGTGAATGAAAGGATTTTGTCTTTCTTGAATTTTAGAGTACACCCTATTCTAGAATTCTAGAATTTACTTTTGAGCAGAAGATGTAAATAAACTCGGTGAAATGGGGGGGGGGGGGAACTGGACCCATAGGTTCTGTGCATCATTTTGAATTGAATTGATAGTCACATCCACCTTCAAAAATGAAATGAAATGGGGTTTAACGTCCTACTGTTCTGCTCCTATGCTGGGCTAATGAAGACAGGCATACGCCATACAGTGTGCTATGAGGGAAATTTTGCACGGGCAGCGGCACTATCGCCTACTCTTATATCGAATTCCAACTGCCAAGGGATCTTTTACGTTCATTCCAATGTATACACGGGACCTCGGTTTTTCGTCTCATCCGAAGGACTAGACAGCTATCCTTGTCAGGCCCTCCGTCCTGCATCACTGACAAGGGGGAACCACGCCGGAAAATCTGGATGAACTTTCTCGGCCAATGCAGGGATCGAACACCCGACCTCCAGGCTAGCGAGCTAGCGTCTTACCCACTTAGCCACGTGATCAAACATAGAATGTTTTTAAATAATATTCCACGATACAAATTTCACCAATTATCTTTTATGTGGTATTCAAAGCTTAATGTGACACGCTAACCTCCAAAGCACCCGAAAGAATTTGTGGAAAGGTTATGACATGGTTGATGGAAAAATGAAAACATATTTTTTTGCCGGGCGTATAAAATTCTGTTACAACCCTCAAGTGATTAGCGCGTTCCAAAATGGGTCCTTGTCCACATTCATAGAAGCAGTCAAGAAACTCTTGGATTTTAAAACGTGAAAACGACGTCCATGAGCCCGGTTCATGCAATGATAAAGATTATTTCTGGTCTGTTCAATAGGCTTATCTGGTGTCTGACCCTATTGATGTGTCCACAAAATATGTTTAAATCAAATTAAAATATCAGAACTTTATCAAAAAATCATATCTTTAAATTCTGAAGGAAATGTGACATACGGACATAGATGACGACTGCATATTTTCGTATTAAATATTGATACAAATGCATAATTAAAGGTTTTCTTCATGGAACCATGATTAGTTAGAATATGGAGTAATCTCCCCTTTATTGTTAAACCATGCAGTGCAGTTGTTACGGGTTTGAGTTTTTGTGCGTGAGGGGAGGTAAGTCCCTTGGAGTAATAATTTCTGGTTATTGAACCGGCTAAATATATTTAATATAGATAAAAAAAAGGAGGCATTGTATTGAATATTTAGACGTGCTATTTCCATTAGTGACGAGCTAAACGCGGTACAAATAGATATGTTTTTTTATGGTTTTGGTTACCCAACAAATTCCACAATAGAAATGCAACGAAATCGACAATACATCTGTATTGAAAAAACCCAAGAAAGTCCCAAACATCCCACCGAAAAAATAGAACCCAAATAAAAAGATCCCTAAAAACCAAGCTTCTGTCAATAGTACTCTGTATTTCTAAACCAGCTGGATGTAATTGAAGTTTTGAAAGTGAAGTTTGAATTGTTTAATGCGATTTTAAAGTAAAATATACAACTGTCATATTGTATCAACCTTTTCAAAAATAAGTGTTGACGCTATTGTTTTGTATAGAGGAAAATAATGACGAGTACAGTAGAATCTGTACGAGGAACTACCCCCTTTCAGCGACATCTCCTTGTATTTCATGACCACGAATAGAACTACCATTCCAGAGAATTTCTAATAGTGCCGTTACATATACATAATTGCATCGAAATTAGCCGGGACAAAATGACACGGTCCATTTGATTAGGTATATTTGATTAGACTGATCTTCTATAAAATATTTAGGGAATAAAGCCTATGGTGAAATCTAACCGAATTTGAGTTCACATATGGAACGAGCCCAGTCGCTAGATATAAATTTGAATCAACTTCATAAAACGCACTATATTAGTAATAAATGTTTTGTAGAATCACGTCAATATAACTTGTTGACTGAAAGGGTTACAAGAATTTGAACACCAATTGTAATATGACAACACAAAGTAATTCAAAAAAACATATGTGTTTAAATAACTGGGTCAATATGCTTATGTTCAGAGAAGATATTAAGTAGGTAACACACTGTTACAATCCTTTATGAACGCACATCGTGCTGTTATTATCATGTTGGGAAAAAACAAACCACTTTACTATGAATAAATGAAAAAAATATTTTTTTTATATCTTTTGTTTTCTCTTTATTTTATTTTCACCTGTTTTGAAAATTGTACAATGTGTTATTCATTTTATCAAAAAATTACAATTTCATATTTGTGTAGAATATGTTTGGTTTGTCAGCGTGGAATTCTTCAAGGTGTGGTCCTTCCTCCATATGTTTTCAATTTATCAATAAATAAAGGAATCTGACCAGCGCTATGTATACTAAGGTTATTTCGTATAACAAAGTATATATTCTATGTGAACTACAAACACGGGGCTAAAAGTAATCACAATTTTCATAAAGGGAAATGACCAGATAGATCACCGAGACTTCAGATGAAAGGAAAATACCAATAAAATTCCCGCCTTATATAGATAACATTATATATATATGTAGTAGAACGTGAATATACCGCATTTAATTTAAAGATGAATCCTATTAGAAACTGTTCAGTCCGTTCTTTAAACCATTGTGTGGTCAATACAATGTATAATCAAAGGACAGATATTAGAAAGGGTGAGCGAGGGTGGGGTATGAAGCTGTGAATTGATTCTAGATTAATATTTTTAAAAAGTGCAAAAAAAAAAAAAAAAAAATCTTGAAAAAAATAGTCATCAAAAAACAGAAAAATAAATATATTCCCGTTGTGGAATACACATGGGTTAGTATTTTTAGTTACTTTTTACCATTATGTATTTGGAATATAAATATCTTTTTATAAGTGTGACACTAATACAGCCACTTTAATCGTCGGTATTAATAACTCCGTGCAGTACATATATCAACAGTATACAATATTTATGTAATTTTATATCATCCTGGTTTCAGCCTTTCTCTGACTTTCTTAAGATCAAATCTCTAATCTGCCGACAAACAATAAGTCAAAATATTTCACGTAAATTTAAGGCTTTGATCTTCTTGGGGATTTCTAAAAACGTCGTAACGAACGAAATGACCGTTTCTATAGTAAACTAGATACGCCTTGTACTAGTCCGGTGTCAATTGTTTTACTGTAAGTTGCATTAGTGCACACCTGTATATGTGATATATAATTAAAGCTGATATAGGGTTTACTGTTATCGTGTCAGTATTATACAACTTTATCCATATAAATAATATAACATTAATTTATCTAAATACAGACATATCTAGGGCCTTTTTTATATGCTTAAAAATATTTTTAAAAACTACCACGAGAGCAACAGGTCAAAAATACAGATTAATTTTTCAGAGGATAAAATCACTAGCCTTTGACATTAACCCCATATATTCCCACTTTGTTTCTTCAAGCATCTGTTTAAAATAACAAATGTATATTCGATATATGATGAACTACCGCCTTAAAAGACAGTGGGTTGGAGTTTAATTGCATACGGTTACATATATGTACTAAAGTTACACGAATCGTGTATTTTTACTCGGTCCACGTCATTTCGCTTACTCATTTTCAAAATTCATATGTGTAGGGTCTTTTAAGGCAAACATTGGGATTATGTATACTTTATCTCGAGTAAGAGTGATCCATTATTATTGTCATGATTTAATAAGCTATAAATGAAATGAAATGAAATAATGTATATAGTCTGATTGAAATTTGAAACCCCAACAATAATCTATTTATGTTATATCATTAATAACATCACATACCAATAGAAACTAAGTTATTTTGAAAAGAAAAATCATATTTATGAATTTAGACGAAATTATAGGAAAATCAAGTAAGGTATATTACAAAAGCATTAAAATGTTTAGTTCTCGGTGATGGTATGACAGATTTGTCTCAAATACACTTCCGGAGTGATACCAGGGCCAACGGAAGCAATTCTTGATTGGGGGGGGGGGGGCTACCATCCTAGGTCCTTATAGGCGTGGGTCCAGGGGCCGCAATAACCTGGAGAAAAGAGTACTTGCGGCCAAATTATTAGCCCCCCCCACACCGCCGGGCCTTGATAGTATTGCAAATTCACGTCAAGACAAACATTACCTTTTTCCCGATCGACGCCCCTGCAATATATTTATTGTAATTATGGTAAATTTTACTACATGCCCATTTAAAGTTTGTCGTATTTTCTGTCCATATTATGTTCAATATAATAATATATATTCTGTTCATATTATTCTTCTATATAATATTCTGTTGTGTTGTTCTATACATATATTTCCAGCTCATAGATGTATATTTTATACAATGTTCTTTTCATATGGCTCTATGCACAGC